GTGGCATGGCTCACAAGTGGCTTAATTCAGTATCACAAGAATGGAGAAGCAATCATCCAATGTATTCCATATTAATATGAAGCCAGTACACGATCTAATGCAGGCCCACATAGGAGAAAAAACTCCCTTCCATTCGAGTAGGGGGGAAGGGTGCTCCCACTGAACGGGCATGGTGTGGGGGTGTTTGGACACTTTTTGCGGGACCACAAGTGGGACTCTACCTAATAAAATCAAATATTTGACATGCTTGTTTGTACCCTCACCTTAACCTGAAATTTAAAAAAAAAAAAAAGATGTAAATCCAGGGACTTTTCCTATGGAATGTTCCCCGCGGCCCTTGGTGCCCAGATGTCTGATGACGTGGGGCCAAGATTGCGCTGCTGGGCTGGAGGCGAGGCCCGCGCGCGTGTAGATTTCCAGAAAAGCCTCCCACAACAGTCGCGGCGTTTGGGCGGGAGCCAGCGCGGGCGCGGCGGACGGAGCGCACAGACCGCCGAGCGCAGAGCGGGATGTACCTCTGCTGGGGCGCCGGCTCCCGGGGGCTGCAGCGCCGGAGGGCGCCGGGCGCAGGCGGCGCGGGGCTGCGGCAGGCGGCCAGCGGGGAGCGCCACGCGCTGCTGCTGCTGACCAACCGCGCGGTCCACTCGTGCGGGGACAACAGTCGGGGCCAGCTGGGCCGGAGGGGAGTGCCGCGCAGGGAGCTGCCAGGTGAGTGCCGGGCCCGGGTGGCGGGGCCGGGGGGCGTAAGCGGGGGCTCGGATGCCGGGCGCGAGGCGCTGCGGACTGGGCAGTCGGGCGCTAGGGGCATCGGGTCCGTCGGCGGCGGGAGACTGGAACACCGTGCTCGGCTCCGCCCAAGCGCCGCTCATCAGTTTCCCTTTCCTCAGGTTCCTGGTGTTTGTTTCGGTTTCCAATCAAGTCCAAAGCGAAACTGCCAGCGGAAACGAACCTAGACCGCACCCTGCCCAGGGGCGCGGTCACTCCGTTTACCTTTCAAACTGACCCACACTGGCGCGGGTCTAACCGCAGGAGTCAGCCTGACCTTGCAAACGTGGTTTGTGGGTTGGACACCTGTAACTCCCTCAGAAATACCACTGGGCATCTTTTTTCCTAAAATTAAAAAAAAAAAAAAGTAATAACGTTTTTACCATGAGCGATTATTGTAGAAACACGGGAAAGAAAACATATGTGATTCCAACACCCAAAGATAGCTCCTAACATTTTGGTGCATTTCCTTCTTGTCGTTTTTAATGTATATATTTTATCTTTATGAAAATCATGTCACAGCTTGGCGCCTGTGGCTCAAGTGGCTAAGGCGCCAGCCACATACACCTGAGCTGGAGGGTTCGAATCCAGCCCGGGGCTCGCCAAACAACAATGACAGCTGCAACCAAAAAACAGCTGGGCATTGTGGCGGGCGCCTGTGGTCCCAGCTACTTGGGAGGAGGAGGCAGGAGAATTGCTTGAACCCAGGAGTTGGAGGTTGCTGTGAGCTGTGATGCTACAGCACTCTATCCAAGTTGACAGCTTGAGGCTGTGTCTCAAAAAAGATAATAATAAATAAAAAAAGTTTAAAAATCACATCACTATACAGTTTCGTATACACAGTATTTATGCAACTCTGTAAATTTTGTTTTCACCAAATGTAATGATCTCATGAACATACTGTGTTTTTATTATGTATGTGTGTATATATATAATATATGTGTGTATATATATATATGTATATATATATATATATATATATTTTTTTTTTTTTAAGTGCTGCATAACATTCCAGGCTCTGAGAGTACTACAATTTAATCATTCTCATTTTGTGGAAACTAGGCCATTTCTCCTTAGGGGCCTATATAAATAATGACATTCTTGTGAGTAAATATTTTACCACATTTCTGATAACTTGCTTAGAATAATTTCAGGAAGTGTATGGAGGGGGGAATTCCTTTTAGGTTCAATGCCTGCAAATTTAACTGACAAAAGACAGATTCACGGGAGAAAAAGCGTATATTTTCATTAATATTTGTAGGGGAATTTATATGCATGGGAATTCACAGAAAAAGAAAGTGAAACTCAAGCATTTAGCCTCAGGGACTTGCACACCATATTTAGTCTTTATTAAAGTCCAAAGGGAGTTTGGACTTCAGAAGATGATAAACTGTGAGGAAAGGACTAGGAAATATATTGGAGAGTCTGCTGGAAGGTAAGGGTTAAGAGTTGTTTATGCAGATTCATCTTGGTGTGAACACTCCGTCTTAGGTGACTCTTCTCTTCCTAGTACAGAAGATGGGGAACGTCTTCACTAAGGGATAGTGATGCCCTGCTTTTAGGTGGATAAGAGTAGAGCAGTGAACTCTTCCTTCATCTTTTATCTTTGATTCACAATTGCCTTCAGCTCAAAATAAGTCTTATGCCAAAGTGGCATGTTTGGGGGGTGGCATATCCTGATCCCATTTGTGTGGAAATGAAGGGGAACTTGATACTTAATGCCAAACTGTTCTCCAGAACAGTGGTACCAATACCTACCTTCATGACAGTATGAAATTTTTTTAGCATTGCACAAATTAAAAGTAAATAGTGGAAAAAAATAAGATCACAAATACAAAAACAAAAAAACAAAATTGTGTTACAAAAACAAATACAAATACAAAAACAAAAAAACAAAATTGTACGTGTTACAAAAACTTTACGGGTAATGACGTTCTTCACTCCAAACCGCTAGTAATTCAGAGAAGTAATTCAGAGAATTCTGTTTACTTTGGGTAAACAGTTTAGATTGGCTTGCAGGGACTCCATGGGGCATATTTGTTCACTCCTCATTGTTAGAGGTTCTGGCACCTGCCTCTCACATTCAGGAGGCAGGCTCCCTGCCACTTGCCCTCTGAGCAAGGATTCACTGCTTTCAATGTTCAAGGTTAGGAATTAAAATAAAGGTGACTCCACCTTCTTTCTGGGTCCCTTTATTTTGCTTTCACCATCATAGAAAAACATTTAATCAAGTGTCATGGTCCTTAGAGGTCCCCCCTCCCACAATATCCACTCATTTCAACAGCAGCTGTTGAATGATACACTTAGGCACATTAACATTTGTAAGAGTTTCTTTGTACATTCAGCAATTCATAGGTAGCACTAGACCTTGAGTGGGCTCTGAGGGGACTGCCGAGGATGCAAGGTGAAAACTTTCACAACATTTTTGAGGAAAAAAGACAAAGAAAATATTTGATTGGCTACAGCTAAAGTCTTTACTTAGAACTAGTTGGCAGTTTCTAATTGGTTAAGCTTAAGTTTCATTTTCTTAGGTTATAACCATTCACTCTGGGTAGAGTTTTAGTTTGCTTAGGAAGTCAAGATGCTGGACCCTTCTCAGCCTTCTGGTGTCCCAGTGGGTTATTTTAATGCAGCTGTACCCCTTAAAGAAAAGATAACACACTGATTTTCTTTAGATATTGGGCATGGACTTTAGATCTTGGTTGAAAAGACCATTGGAGGAGACAAGGAATCTGGGGGACCTTTCCTTCTGGAGGAAAGTGCTATCTTTTTTTTTTTTTTTT